CCCTAAACTTATTATTACCCTGAACAACCCTAAGCCCTAAACTTATTATTACCCTGCACAACCCTAAACCCTAAACTTATTATCACCCTGAACAACCCTAAGCCCTAAACTCATTATTACCCTGAACAACCCTAAACCCTAAACTTATTACTACCCTGAACCTCCAAGCGGGGTTTGTGTTATGGCAAGCGGGCTTCTACCCGGGGTCATGGAGCTTTCCAGTAGCCACTAGCTCTTGGCACAGATCAAGGAGCTAAACCCTAAACCCCTAAACCCCTGGTTTACGGTTAGGGTTTAGGGTTTAGGGTGGTTTAGGTTTTAGGTTTTAGGGTAAACTATCAGGCCGATACCATGAGAACGGGGCAACTAGAAAATATACAAGACATAAAAGCTGCATGACCCGGAGTACCCTAAACCTCCTGAATTTGATTATCCGAAAGTCATGCAGGATGTTGTTTAGTATCAACCGGAAGCGATGCCCTACTGCCTAAAAAGGCGGATCCCCGAATTCCGAGCCTCAAAAATGAGCTAGCAATATGTGCATATCTATATGTACATAAGGGTTCTAAGTAATTAAGGGTTGATAGAGTCCTAATAAGGGATTACATGGGGGTTATTCTCAACTCCCACATAGTGCATTTTAGGAATAACCCTCGCAACCACCAGTAGGTAAACACGACCACCCCCCTATATGAAGTACTCGCGTTACATGTGTTGCGTGATTAACACGAGGAGTTTGATATCAGGAAGGTGGGCCTGTTTTGGAATATTTTTGTAAGCAAAACAATCTAAAACCCCAAATTCTGAATGAGATTGTACATCCACTTTCAATCACCAGCAAGTGAAGGCTGCGCGCCTGACACACCTGCTTCAGACCAGGAGTAGGGTTCAGGGTTAAGGGTTTAAGGTTCAGATTCAGGATTCAGGTTCTAGGGCTTCTTTGGGACCATCCACCTCCCCTAAACCCTAAACCCTGAACCCCTAAACCAGCCTTTTTTCCCCGAAATTACCTGCTTCGAGTCTGGGAGGGTCGTTTCGGCAGTTGAAACTACTATTTCAGCTATATTGGGGATATATAGCGATAATGGAAAAGAAAATGGAAACTATACTAATGTAATAGGGTATATCTTGGGATTATATTGGGGTTATATAGGGATAATGGAAAAGAAAATGGAAACCACTATATAAGCTATATAAGGGGTTTCATTGGGGTTTATAATGGGCTTATAATGGGTTATATTGGGATAATGGAGAGGAAAATGGAAACTACTATATAGTATATTGTTGTGGTCGTGGTCGTTGTTACGGGTCGTGGTGGTGTTGGTGACGGCGGCGGCGGTGTTAGCGGCGACGGGGGTGGTGGTGGCTGAAGCCGGGATGGTGATGGCACCGGCGGCGCTGGTGGCAGTGTGGGGGTCATCCGCCTCGTCTTCGTCCTGGTGGTTCAAGGCTGGCGCCAAAACAACTGTTGGACATGAGCGTCTTGGGGTGAGATGGCAGCCGCTAGAAAAATGCTGCTAAACCTTAAGCTCTCTGGCCCTGTGCTGCGCAGCGTAAGAAGCCACTATCATGCGGTTTATATAAGATCCCATATATGCAGAGGTTTCCTTTAGGTTTGGAGCCCTTAAAAAGCAGAGCATTGGCCAGCTAAGGATCAACCACCAAAAGCTCATAGACCCAGTTTAGGGTTCTGGGGCAGTCATTGTAGCCTGCCCTGAAGCCTAGCAGACTGTAAATTCTGAATCCTAGATTTTTAAAACCGAACCACCACGAGTCACAAGCTGGCATTGATCAGGAGAAGCCAGAGTGGAACGCCGGGGACCAATCATTCTATGCTTGCATTTTGATGTCGTTGGAGAGTTACAGGTATGAGAGTAGAAGGTCTCGGGATTTAGCAATGCTGTGTTTGTATGGCTTGTTTGATCAGGGTTGGGAGCCTACGGTAAACCCTAGCCTATGCGCACAGTTGCCTGATACCCGAAACCCTATATAACCCATTATAGTCGTTTCCGTTTCCTTTTCTGTTTTCCCATTTTACCCCTTATATAATAGTCTGCTTTTTCTTTTCCATTATCCCAATATAACCCATTATAAGCCCATTATAAACCCCAATGAAACCCCTTATATAGCTTATATAGTGGTTTCCATTTTCTTTTCCATTATCCCATTTTACCCCAATATGACTCAGTGTCAACCCCAATATACCCCCCTTATATAACAGTTTCCACTTTCTTTTCCACTATCCCAATATAACCCATTACAAACCCCATGTAACCCCTTATATAGCTTATATAGTGCTTTCCATTTCTTTTCCATTATCCCATTTTACCCCAATGTAACCTTGACCCCAAAACCGTCCGAGCAGCTTCCGCTTCGGGTTTATTCTCCTGTATCGTTTGTTCTGGGGGTCGGTTGCCCTAAACCCTAATCCCAAGCGACCAGGTTTTAGGTAGATTTTTAGGGGCCCGCCCCCGAACACAGGAACTAAATGCTTCCCTCATATTCTCCTTCGAAAGCGTTCATGATAGAGCTGTGTGTAAACCATAAAACCTTGCCGAAAAAGCCCTTCCTCAGTTTACCTGACTTGGAAAATGAAGATTTCCTGGGTGGGGTTGTTATTAAAATGTTTGGCAAACAGACATCACTCGTAAGCCCCTGGGAAGGGCTTTCGGATAAATGAGCCTAGATGGCGTCGATTTGGAAAGCAGATTTCCACCAAAAAGATAACCTTACCAAAATACTGGACATGTTCCAATGCTCATGGCTCAGAGTGAAAAACCCTAAACCCGAAACCCTTATGGCATCCTTGGAGAAGATTATCCTAAGACCGAGTTGCTGTTCAGGAACCTGAACTGACGTACTATGGTCAAGGAAACCTTCTTATTCACTATGTACTCATATTCTGGTAACTTGAATTCAGTTCCTTAACAGCACCCCAGAAGATGTTAGTCGTCCTGCTGGAATTGACAGCATTAAGACGGGTTATTCTCAAAATTATGGGTCCCTTGTGTTTATTGGAACCACGCAGGAAGCTCGGGCCTCCAAGGCCTTCAGAGCCTTTACCTAGCGGCAAGAGCCATGCTGACTTGAGGATTTTTTCGCGATTTGGGGTTTAGGGATTGTTGGGTGTAGAGTTTAAGGGTTCTTGGGTTTAGGGATTATTGGGTTTAGGGTTTAGGGATTCTTGTGTTTAGCGTTTAAGGATTATTGAGTATAGGCCCTACACCCTGAACCCTAAGGATTATTGGGTTGAGGCTTTAAGGATTAGTGGGTTTAGGTATTAATTTGCAGACCTGGTGGCCACGACTAGGCTGTCGATGGGTAGCCACCGTGACGTGGATGGAGGCTACATATCCAAAGAGCAACAGGAGGAAGGAATGAATGAATGACAGTTCCCCTAAAAAGGGGTTTAGGGTTTAGCGCTTGGGAATCCTAATATAGATCCCAAAACACTATAAAATATCGACATTGATCCTGGTGGCACACCTTAACGAAGGACGGAGGGAACCTTCCACCATTTAAGATGCCTGAGAAGATAATATCTTAATTGAGTAGAGAAAGGATTGCTAATTGGGGGGTGCCTAATTCTGGTGACGGAAGACCTTGGGGATTGGCGGTAAAGGAAACCTGAACCGACCCTAAACCCCAAAACGGTTTAGGTTTAAACCCTAAACTCTAAACCCTTAACCTTGTTTCAACCCTGGCACGCGTCAAGGTCTATGCCTTCGAGGTCAAAGAAGAACCAGTGAAGGAGGCCTAAAAGAGGGGTTTAGGGTTTAGGATGGTTTAGGGATTAGGGTTTAGGGGTTTGGCTGCTACTGCATTCACGGTTGTTATTACCGTTCCTATTATGCTTAGTCATTCTCTTACTCTTACTGCTACACTCACTGGAAATCCATCAATAAACGCCGCGGCCACGAGACGTTAGGGCCCTTAGGAACAGCTTTTGGCTCTAAAATCTCTGAGATTTTTGGTCACGCGGCCCCCCTGCCCCCTATCTCCGCCTCATTTACCTGTCTCTCTCTCTGGCTGTCTGTGCGGCACCACCGCCACAGACCCGCGTAGTTCTGTTAGTCCAACTCCCAATCTATCGGTGAATCGGAATGGTGAGGGCCAGTCTGTCAATCTCTCCGTGGTTCGGTCTGTCGTTCTGATGGTCTGTGGTCTGTCAGTCTCACGGTCTGTCAGTTTGTGAGTCTATCAGTCGATCTGTCAGTTTGTCGGTCTGACCGTCTAGTTTCTGTCGAACCTCTCGGTCTCTCACTCTACCGATCTAACATCCTCTGAAGTCTATCTGTCTGTCTGTTAGTCGGGCTTTCACTCTATCCGTTAAGCGATTTGAAAAAAAGAAGGTCCGCCGGTCTAGCAGCCTGTCTGTATATCGGTCTGTCGATTTCATGATCTCTCGAATTTATCAGCCTCTCCCTCTACGTGCGTCAATTTGTCGCTCTGATGATTTAGCCGTCACTGGGTTTAGCGGTCTCGGGTTTCGTGTTTACAGATAATAATTATTAAGCTGCGCGTTTTCTCGGTCTCGCTATCTGATAATATGTCGGTCTGTCAAAATATAGGATCTATTCTTCTTTGGTCTTTTCGTGCTCGGTTTATCAATCGCACGGACAACTTCTTAATCGCCTTGAATTATTGACAATAGCGGGCCGCTTGAGTATATATTATATCATTCTCCTCATTATCAGATTCCGACGATCTCCCGCATATCTCTAGACCGCATCCTCGCCATTTTACGACCTCCCCATGAATTCTGAAAGGCTTGGATTCTCCATCCCATCTATAACATTGAAACTAGATCTCATTAGATATATTTTAAGAGATGAGATTTCAATTTCTTCAGATTATAGAAAAATAGAAAAAATTGGATTTGATAGAATCTATAAAAAGATCATATTGAACCGAATGATTTCGCCAACGAATACAGCCAAATTAGTTTTCGATTTTTTTCTAATTCTGCGTAATTTCATTTGGGCGGAAATCGATTCGTCGAGATCTGCAGACGAAGGGAAAAGGGAAGGAAACTAAAATAGATTTCTATATTATATATGATTCATGATTGATTTATTAAGATGAATGAAATTGATAGATATTTTCAAATTTCATAATTTCTAGGAAAATATCTTGAAAGAAAACGATTTGATATTTCAGATTAATATTAGATATCTCTATTACTAATATCGAAGGAAGATAAAAATACGCAGAAAGAGTAGGCTGCGAAATCTAAAATTTCTTAAGATTTCGAAATAATTCTTTCTTTTTGGCTGGATATAGGAAATATATATATTGAAGATTTTATATTGATCTGTTCTTTTTGATTATTTATGCGAGGGAATGAAAAGAGCCGAAGCGGAGGTCTAAATTTTTTTCAGAATATATAGGATATTTATTCTTCATTGATATATTTCTATATGATATATAAATCTAATCTAGTATTCGAAAATATTATGATATATTTGGGTAGGGGTATATATAGGAGATATTACTTCTATTCTGCTGATCTGACGATTAAAAAGAGAAATACGCAATACTCCCCCTTGATTGAAATTATAACAAAGAAAGCTCGTTATTCAAGATTTCTAAGAAATCTACTTATTTTTATATTCGTTTGAAAGAAAAAAGAATCTTAAAAAGGTATGGCGTCCGCATTCTAGTCGTGAAAGCCTGCTGCTGCCTACTACGAATTAGAAGAGAAGGACGACGTCGAAAGAATGAAAAATAACTTAACAGCGTGGGATTATATTAATTTCTATGAATATTCCCCTCAGAATATATAGGAACTGAATAGGACGATTATAGATTTTGGGCGGGCTCCTACTACTACCCACCACGAATTAGACGAGAAGGACGACGCCGAAAGAAGGAAAAATTAATAAGATAGCGTCGTATCTTGACATCAACTTCTATGAATATTTCCTTCAGAATATATAGGAATTGAATAGGAGCTAGCCTGCTGCAAGCATGCATGCCCGTAGTATGAAATAATTCGTTTATAGTCGTTCAACTCTCATTCGTATCTTATATTATATATTATTATGGGCAATTATAAATATTTATTTGGTCTTAGTCGCTCAATATATATCCGATTTATTCATTATATATTGCATTGCGATTATTTATAATAGAGGGTTCGTTCTAAAAGACTAACATTCATCTATATTCTATATTTTATATTATATTTTAGAAATTCAGAAGAAATAATTACTTATTTGGCAAGTCAATTTTTATTTTCTATATTGTTTTTCTAGTATTTACAAGTAGTCATTAATTTCTAATTCAGCTTTCCGCGCGAGTAAAAATCTCTCGCGATTTTAAAATATTTATTTCTCTTTGGTTGTTTGCGTGGCGATTCGGCGTCATTTCTAGATTAAGAGCGAAATTTAAATCTTTCAGAATCTATAGTTTAATGATTTTAGTTGCGTGCGATTTTTTATATCGTCTGCCTGAAACTCAAATTCTCGGCCTAGTGGCAAGTTAATGGAGAAAGTCTTCTGGAATACTCCTACTCATAGCTATATATGAAAAAAATCTTTACGCACATAGGAAGATTCCTATGGGATGATCCGCTCCTATCTTTAGCATCGCAAGTAAATGCCTTGTGCGCCTATAATAGGTCGACCCGTTGGTTCCAGTATCTGCAATACAATTTTCAGGCGCGCATATTACACTGCTCATAATAAATAGGAGTCCTGGCTAGGTAATATCAAATGAATGGGGCGGATAAGACCTTTTGAATGCAAACAAGCGCCAATGATCCAGGATTTAATCGACCGAGATTCTCCCGAGTTTGATGCGCACTTCCCC